CATTGGGGTGCATGTACCCCTTCGGATCCCTACATTTGTATCTTTGGGGTAAATACCCAGTAGTGCAATTGCTGGATCGTATGGTAGCTCTATTTTCAACAAAACACATATTTCTTGAAAACCAACAATATCCATGAATAGTTCTAGGGTTCTAGACAGTCCTTTATAGGCCTGTTTCAAATGGAAGAGAGGAAAAGCACCATCTTTTGAACAAAATCTATGGAAAAGAACTTTAATGGGTCTCTTTCCTTTCCCACTAAATCTTCAGGAGCAGTGGGACTTTTAAACAAATTATTTGGATAATTCTGAGAAGTGGCCAGATTGGGGAACCACTGAATTAGTCCCCATACTGAATTATTCCCACTCCCAAATTCCTATTTAACTCCTGTAATTCGGCTTCCGGCTACATCTTTCAACTGAAACTACAGTTAACTGAAGTTAGGAACAATGCTCTGGGTTGCCAGATCTAGTTAACCTGTTTCCTGCCCTCACTTCTTTACAACACTGACTGTTGACTACCCCCTCCCAGGAACTCCTTTGGTTTTCAAAGTCAGCATCTTTGCTAGTTCTCCTATGCTTTTGTTCAGGCTTCCCATCCATCCATTAGAAGTATAGATTCCAGTGCACCCGGCTGGCTCAATCAGTAGACCATGCAACTCTTGATCTCAGGGTTGAAGCCCCACATGGGGTATAGAGATTACTTAAAAATAAAATCTTAAAAAAGGAAAGTATATATTCCCAAAGGATTCTATGCTTATACTGGAACTTCTATTTTCCGGGAAGATCTCACCCTTTCCTGTGGTTAAACTACCACCATACATTGATGGCTCTAAATCTATTTTTCTAGTCCAGACCTTTCTCCTGAGCTCCAGGCTTATTTATTCTCCAGCTGCCTATTGGGCATCTGGAAGTCTCATGATACCTCAAATTCCACAAGCCAAAATCTATGTCATCTCCCTACCAAACTTGTCCACCTCTAACAGATATCAGTTAATGGTGGTTCCATCCACCAGTCTTACCTCCAAACTAGAATCATAGATATCACGGTTGCCTTCTCTTACCTCCCACTCTATTCAGTCAGCAAATGTATTCTACTTCAGAAATAACTTGACTATCTCATTCTCCTGTCTTCCCTCCTCTTCTCCTTCCATCTTCCCTTCCATTAGGGCAGGACCTCATCCTCCTTTGTTATTATTACTTTTCTGATCCAACTGATCCCCGGTTAGGAATTCCTTAAAAAAATAGAGTGGATCATGTCATTCCACTTTGCTTAAAGGAATCAAAAGAACTTCTTTTGATTCGTTCTTTCTCACATAATAAAACTCCAATTCTGTTCACTTCTGGTTATCACTCCTCTTGACCTCCAACCTCATCTCCCTATGTCTCTACCACACTAAACTCTCCATCCCAGACACAGCAGGCAAGTAATAAGTAGTTTTTAAACATTTTATTCTGTTCAGTAGATTAAATATAACCACATGTATCTTTACACTTCAAATATTCATAATTCCATATCCTAGGATAGGAATCAAACCTAATTTATGATGAAATTACACATTTTAGGATTAAAGACCCAAATTAATCTAATGCTCATGATAGGAAGAAGAACTTACATAATCATGAATTCTCCTTTGGTTTATACATTCCTTCAAAGTCAAATGGATTTTATGCTTTGATAAGATCTCTTTGATAAGAGAAAATGATGTGTATTTGGGGGGAAAGCAAGCATCCTTGGCCATAGACAAAACATGCTTTCTTAGATGGAGAAATAAATCAACCCTGTGAAAACAGGTCATTTGTGTGTTTACTCAGCATTTCCCAAGCACATTCATGCACTCATCTTGTCCATCAGGTCTTCCCTGCAAATCCACTCAGAATCCAAGCTGTCTCCCTGGTGGGTGTGACAGACTGGTTTTATGCAGCCAGTGGGAAGGATTAATGATCTCAGCAAAGAGCTGGTGTGCTCAAGAGGTTTAAAAAAATTTTTTTTTTTTTTTTATGTAACAGTTTTAGTCAAAGCTGCTCTGGGACTCAGCGGAAGCAGAATTTCACCGGAGGACAAACTTGTTGACTAATGGCCAATCACTATGCAGCAGGGAGGGCAAAGCCTTGGTGTTTGTGTCACGCCTGGGGCGGGTGCGCGGGCGGGCAGGGTGCGGTGGGAGGTGGGGTGGGACGAGCACCACCATCGAATATTTAATGGGAAAAATCAGTCTGGCCAGTCATGCTCCTGCAGGCCCTTGGAGAAGCGCCGTCACAAAGCGATAGACGGAATCCATGGTGCAGCCCAGGGGGTCCGCCCCGCTGCAGGTTACTGGAGAGCCGCTGTGGCATCGCAGACGATCACAGAATGACTTATTTCACAAGACTCATTTTGTTTTTGTTTTGTCTGACGGCTCTTGTGGAGAGCAGAAAGCCCAAGAGGAGGAGATGGACAGGGCAGCTGGAAATGCCCAAGCCAAGGTAAGGGCGTGGGTGGGAGGGGAGGAAGGTCACTGGCTGCCGCGGCGCACAGTGGTACAGTCCCCAGGAGGGCTGAGGTTACATTGTCCCTCTGGAATCTGTTTTCCAGCCAGAGGTAGATGGGGCCACCACCTCACTGAAAACAGTCTCTCTTGGAGCACAAATATTCTCTAGCGTCACGAGAGAGCAAAGCTGGACTGCGTTGAGCATTTTGTTCTGGTATCTGTGTTCTGTCCAAGCATTTTGATTTGAGGCAGGTGGTTGAAGATTTCGTGAGTAAAACCTCTTGTACTTCTCGGCCTGTGCTGCTTTGTTCCTCAGGATGGCATCCTGTAGGGACCATGGGGGGCTGCTGAGTAATTGCACTCAAGAACTTTGGCGGGGGGGCTGTAGATAGGAATTTAGTTTGAACTATTAAGAAAAAATGTAACCAAGAGTTGTCATCTTTAAATGATTGGACTGGGAACAGCTTTATAACGGTATCGGGTTTCATTTCACTGTTGCAATCTGAAAAAGGTATTTGAAATTTGCTAGGTTATCAGAAATACACGTGTGGGCAACAGGAACAGCCGTTGCACCATGTAATGGAAACATTTCCAAGATACTGGTGAGGCCGGAATTTGCATTAAAAATCATGACATTTCCAAATCGAAGTTCCTTAGTAAGTTTGTTTGAACGGATGTACAAAACCCGATACTCCAGGCCTGATGTAGACACGACCGTTGAGCATGCAGAAAGGAGCAAGCCGCTGAGATGGAGACAGCATGTGTGAGATGTCACACATCTGTTCTCCATTCCACTAAGCATTGTGAGAACTAGTGATTGTGAATATAAACTAATATATGGAGGCACATTTTCTGGGTTACTGGCTTTTATTTGTAATCAGGCACTGCTATCGGTGAAAATTTTTGGAAATTGTCCCTCCAATATATTTACTTAAAAATTATATACATATACTATTATGCATATGTATATTAAAGTAAAACTTGACTGCTTCCTTATTTTTAGATAAAAACTACCAGTAGCAGTTACAATCTCTTTCTGCGTCCCAGTGGACCATCTTTAGCACCCCAGGTGTATGCCCGCTTTGGAGACTGCCGCTCTGGGGGAGGTACATGCCCTGCAGGGCCTAAGGCTAGTCACACAGAAAGCAAACAGAGAAAACTTGTCCAGGATGACAGGGAGGAGGCACTGCCCTGCAAGTCTCATCCTGGTGATATTGCCAGAATCAGAGGCTGTTGAACTGGAAGGGACCTTGGGGGTCACGTGATCCAGCAATTCCTCTGAACTCTAAGTGAGATAGGTGTTGTGTGAAAAAAGGGGTTTTGGGGTCAAAGAAACTTGGGAAACCCTGGCTTAGATCATTTTAAACAGCCATCTTGAGAGTACAGCTTCTAGGACCCTTATTTTGCAAATAGACATTCTGAATCTTGAAGAGGAAAATAAATTATGCAGTTTAAAAAAAAAAAAAAACCCTGCTTTTTTTGGACTATCTTGCGGGATTCGGGATTCGTATTTTACAGAGCACGTACTGGGAAACACAGTTTCAGTTTTATGGATGTTGAGAAGTCATCTGGTGGGCGTGGGTAATTCACACAGCTGGCTAGTGACCCCACGGGCTGGGATGTAGGTTTCCTGATTTTCTCAGCCTGGAGGAAAAGCCTTGTATAGACTTGTCTATTCCCTGAGACCAGCGCTGGGGTTCAGCACGAGCCCCTCAGGGATCCTCAGGGATCCTCACGGATCCTACCTGGCAGCCTGGGCTGTCACACCCGTGTCACTCCTCATAAGACCCTCAGTCATTCCCAAACACCTGCATGAGCTTGGGGACAGACTGAATCCAACCCTTAGGGGTGAGGAGAGTTTCCTGAAATCCATCCCTGGGGGTGTTAAAGTGGAAGAAAAGATGAACCTACACATTCAACAAATAAAAAATAATTATCGAAGGGAGGCTGGGAGAGAGGATACAGAAAACGTCACATCAGGAAACATGATTCTAGGCCTTTCTAAATCCACCAGGGCAGGTGCACACTCAGAACATCATCAAGCTATGTCTGTCTGAAAAATTTCAGCCAAGTGACTGACTAAAAACTTACGTTCATCATTGACACACAAGAGTTAAGCTGTACGAATAAACAGGAACAAAATGATGTGGCTTTTAGAGCACTTCATCTCTGTAGGGTAGCTTCTTTTCTTTGAAGTCCTGTCCCCCCTCTCACCTCACACGGTCTTACAAACACATACCGTACACCATACATAGGATTTCACCATCCTCTCTCTCTCTCTCTCTCTCTCTCTCTCACACACACACACACACACACACACACACACACAGAGTTGGGATCTCTTCTAACCTATATACCTTCCACATCACTCTGTCCAAGGCACCCTCGCAAAACAATTATTCTGCCCAATAGGTGCTTTTTCCAAAACTGCTTCCAGTTTTCGCGCCCTTCGTGTCCCCCTTCGTGGAACTGCTGCCCCCCGAACCTGTTTTCTCCTACCTACTCCCTTTTCCCTTTGCTCTCTTCTCCCTGCCTCCCAGCCTCCAGCTTCGGTCCGGCTCCTCCCTGCGAGCTACCTAAGTTGGCCTCCTGACCACGTGACCCTCCCCGCCCCCCCCCGCCGCAAGAGGGGTCCACGTGACACCCCACCTCCCCGCCACCGCCGCCGCAAGAGGGGTCCTTCTCCCTGGAGATCTGAAAATGAACCTAGGTCTGGGCTCTGGCGGTCTGGGCTCTCCCCGGATAACACTCTCTGGTTCCTCCTGGTCCCAGAGCCTGGAGGCCCCTTCCATATTTCCTCTCCCCTTTGCAGCCCCTGTGGCCAGCCTTCTCTTGGTCTGCGTCGTGGCTCACGCTGTGCTGGGCCCAGGAGCAGCTTTGCTTTCCTGCTGCCCAGTGATCCTCACCCACCCCAGAGGCCTGGGGAAGGACGGGGTTGGGGGGGGCAGGAAGTCAGGGAAACCAGGTTTGGACCCTGGTTCTGTGGCTCCCCTGGCCATGGCTATGTTTCCTGATCTTTCTGAACCTCGTTTCTCCAACTGAAAAGGGGTGGTCGTGAGACCTCCCCCACTGGGATGAGGGGTAACTGCAGCTCAGGGCCTGCACAGAGAGAGGGTGATGCATACGGGCATGGTCGTCATGCCTGCTATTATGGCTACCAAGTAAACCTCAGCACGGTGGCCCCAGCCCTGCCTCTCAAAGGTGTGGTGAGCACATTTTTCCTCTGTCTCCACCCGAGGCTGGTCTGAGGGCCCGTGGAGGTTTTGGCTGCCCCGCATTGGGCTGGGACTTGGGGTACGGCCCCTGGAGTCTGGGGTCTTCAGGCCAAGGCATCTGGGTACTGGAAGGACGAGTTGAGGGCATCTGGCTCACACAAATAGCCCAAGGCTGGGGATATTAGTGGCCTGAATTATCAAGTAACTGGTTCCTTTATTTATTTATTTATTTATTTTTAAAGATTTTATTTATTTATTTGACAGAGAGAGACACAGCGAGAGAGGGAACACAAGCAGGCGGAGTGGGAGAGGGAGAAGCAGGCTTCCCGCGGAGCAGGGAGCCTGATGCTGGGCTCGATCCCAGGACCCCGGGATCATGACCTGAACCGAAGGCAGGCGCTTAACGACTGAGCCACCCAGGCGCCCCGTAACTGTTTCTTTTAAAAAACAACAACAACAAAAAAAAAACCACCCAGTTCTGGGCCCTCATTAATGGCATAGGCATTTCAATCTCCTCTGTCCTGCAGGGGGGCTGGAATTCTGGGACTTCCACTCTGTAATCCTCCCCTCTAAATGGAGATGGAAACTGCTGGCCAGCAGGGATTTGCTCCCGGAGAGGCAGAGGAGTAGGGCGCCGGCCGCACTCACAATTTAATGTCTGTGATCTGCTAAGCCCTAAGGCCGAGCTCTTCCTCGGGGTGTCTTTGCTGGGATGTTGAATGCGGCCTGTCACGCAGTTTGCTGTGCGGGGAACTGGGTCTGGTCCCCCCTGACTTGTGGAGCCAGGCCTGGGGCAGACACTGTGGAAGACAGCTCCGTGAAGGCGCCCTGACAGTGGCCGCCTTGCTTCAAGGGAACTGGACTTGGCTTCCATATGCCAGCTAACTGGAAGGAAGACGTTACACTGGACTTCCCTCCAACGGGCTGCTTGTCTAAAAGCAGCTCTGATCATGGCTTCTTCCTCCAACTGCTTAACACCTTCAGTGTTTTCCCATCACCTTTGGGTAAAGGCAGAAGCCTTACCATGATCTCCAAGGCTCTGCCTGGCCTGGTCCCCGTGTGCCCCTGCGGCCTCACTCAGCTGCTCCAGCGCCTCTTCCTTCCCTTCCCCTTTCATTGAATGCCCTCTCAACCTGCAGCCTAGACCACAAAGTGAGCGTGTCCCAAACCCAGCTAAAGGTGTGTTGTTTAAATGCCTGTAGGATATCCCTTGGGGGATCATCAGTTAGGCAGCTGGATAAAGGATGTAGAGCAGGGGGTACTCATTTAGGAATCGTCCACATGCTAATGACAACTGAAGCCACAGATGTAGGCTGGCCTGCCAAAGAGGGTGTGGAGGGAGAAGAGGGGGTGGCTGGGACAGGGCCCTGGGGGGATTAGCGTTTAAGGGGGGCGCTGAGGGCAGGCGGGCAGCAATGGAGCTTGAGAATGAACTCTCAGGTGATAGGAGGACAGCCCAGTGCCTGGTCCTGACAGGCCAGGTTTCTAGCAGAGGCGTGGTCCTCCGTGTGGCCAAGAAGCCAGCACTCAGCCGAGTTCCCTTAGGGCCTCGGGGCCAGCACAAGTGGGGCAGGAAGTGATTGGGAGTGAGGAGGCGGCCGCAGCCTGTGGCACACAGCTCCCTGGGAGGATTATGGATTTATTAGGAGGGGGAAGACTTCATTTTTTTTAAACAAAAAGTTTAAAGACAAATATAACTACCACACCTGTAATGCTACCACTTTTCAATAAATTTTGCTTGAGGAGGATGTGCGGTCTAGACAGACTTTCTGCTTTGTTTGGGTTCAAGGGAGGAGACACTTGAACCCAGTTTGAAGGAGCCGTGGGGAAGGGAGATGCTGAGGAAGCTGGGGTGAGGGCGTTTGAGAGCAGAGGTCAAGGGCTCTGCGGGGAGGGTCAGGCACCTCTGCCAAGCCCCCAGTTACCTGCAAGGCTGAAGGAAGTGAAAATACTACCACTGCTCCTGCTTCTGAGGGAGAATGGTTGGGAGGTCTGGAGCTCCAGGTGGCTGTAAGGGAAGCGCTGTAAGGTGGGAAGCCCAGCTTAGAGGGGAATCTGCTTCTTGGGGGGGTGGGGGTGGAGAGCAGACCAACCTTTAGACCAGCACTGTCTAAGAAAACTTTCTGAGACTGTGGAAACGTTATAGATCTCACTGTCCAACATAGTAGCCGCCAGCCTCGTGTGGCTATTAAGCACATAAGTAAGGCTGGTATAATTAAATTAAATAAAGTAATTTTATTTTATTAATGGACTTTATTGTATTAATTAATTAAATTTTAATTTAATTTAATTTTAATTGGCTTAAACAATCACATGGACCTAGTGGCTACTTTATTGTCAGCACGGCTTTAGACCTCCCAACAACTTACACCATCTGGGTAGAGCTGACGGAGAATGAAAGTTAAGAAGGACTTCATAGAAAGATGTCACAAAGAACAGGACCTTGAGACAGGAAACATGTTACTTCCCTCTTACAGAGTTTAGATTTTATTTATTTCAGAGAGAGAATGAGAGATAGAAAGCACGAGAGGGAAGAGGGTCAGAGGGAGAAGCAGACTCCCTGCTGAGCAGGAAGCCCGATGTGGGACTCGATCCCGGGACTCCAGGATCATGACCTGAGCCGAAGGCAGTCGCTTAACCAACTGAGCCACCCAGGCGTCCCCCTCTTACAGAGTTTAAACAGGAAATATGCCCCTTTCTCTAAAAAGAAAAAAAAAGCGTGATAAGAACACTGAGAGTAAAATGGGGATGTATATATAAATAAACAACAAATATTCAATCCCAAATCTCTTCATTTATTAGAGGTCTTTAAATGTCCTACACATAACAACATTTACAATAACACTGAATTCTGATAAGGTTGTTTCGTTTCTTCTGTCAAGAATTAGATTTCACATCTTGTCAGACACAAATCCATCCTTCCTCCCTCCCTCTCTCCCTTTCCTTCTCCCTTCTCTTGTCTTTCTCTTTGTTTAGTGATGATCACGTCAGTAGAATATTGTTTTAGAATATTTTGGATTTTACTGCTTTAGAATTATGTGTGGTTGTGGTGAGGAAAAAAAAATAAAGATTTGGAAAGAGGGGCACCTGGGTGGCTCAGTCGTTAAGCGTCTGCCTTCGGCTCAGGTCATGATCCCAGGGTCCTGGGATCGAGCTCCGCATCGGGCTCCCTGCTCGGCAGAGAGCCTGCTTCTCCCTTTCCCTCTGCCTGCCGCTCTGCCTACTTGTACTCTCTATCTCTCCATCAAATAAATAAATTAAAAAAAAATCTTAAAAAAAAAAAAAGAAGATCTGGAAAGAGTGAGTGTGGATGAGAGAGACTAGAGAATGACCCCTTGGTCATCTGGGTTGAGGAAAAAGAGTGAACCTGGTCTGCAGTCCTAGGCTGGCTCCAGCTTCCACCACCCCGCTGAGTGGCCAGAGCAACTCTGTGCCCAACGGGGGCCTTGATCCCTACTGCCTGTGCCCTGTCTGTTCCCCTTGGGGTTGAGGCTTTGCTCTGGGGTGGATTCTGCAGACAGCGGCCAGATGGACTGATGGAAGGAACATCAGGTCTGGCGAGGCTAAAACCAGCATTTTAAAACTTCCACAGTATTTGTGTCAGAACTGTATTGATTACAAAATCAATATTATAGCAACATAAGAGAAACAGTTAAAAAGAAAAATTATAATCCTCCACCATTCAACCCAACTGCTGTCATCCAATCATAACTTACCTTAGGAAGGCTCTGGAAGGTTCTGGTCCTCAGGCCTTTGAGGGAGGATGTGGGGGGACAGGGTGAGTGGGGAGGGGTGTGTGCACGCACGCGCGTGCGCTGGTGTGTGTGTGTGTGTGTGTAGCCTTCAGGGGATGGAGAAAATGTGCCTAAAGGGAAGATTCTGCAGGGAGTATCCTCCTCAAATGCCTTTGTGGGCCACTGAAAATATGTCTCTTGCTTGTCTTTGCAGTCACCTATATAAGAAGAACCTTGACGTGACCAAAATCCACAAGGGAAAACCTCAGCCACTTCTCAGAGTGGAGGACCACGATTTCTCCATGAGGCCCGCCTTTGGAGGTAGGGCCGAGTGCTTGCCTTGGCTGGGGTGGGGCCTGGTCCCCGGGGGCTTCCTGCTGATGCTCTGTCCTGTTCTCTCAGGCACAGCCCTCCCGTGGGACCCTGATTTTCCCACTCACAGTCACAGAAGCCCAATTGGGCTTCCAGAGTCCCTCATTTTCCCAAGGAGAGAAGAGCTGGAAGGAAGTGAGCAGAGAAGGGGGCCGACGGAAGTGTTGCCGTCGGCTAAGCTGTTTACATCTGGAGTGGACCTGCCCTGCAGCTGCCAACTCTCTTTTCCTAAAATATGAGCCAGCCTGGAGAGTCTGGACACAGAATGGCTCCCCTGCTCAGCCAACCCTGTGATTAGCTGGGAATTTTGGGTTTTGAAAGCCACCTGCCTTTCAATGCAGCAACAACAACTGAACCCATTATAAGGCCCCTGGCAGACTCGCTCCCAAGGGCGCATTGCTGCTTTGGACTCAGGGAGGGGTGGTGCAAGGCCGGTGGCTGTCCCTTCCAGGAACTGGAGAAATGCCACAGGCAGGCCAGGAAAGGAGTTCACCATCTGTTCTGACCAGGCAGTAGGGAGTGGGGTGAGAAGAGCAGAATGCATGAGATGTGGGGCCAATGCCCCCCAACTTGTGGATTCGGGAAACAGACCCAGAGCATTTCGGCCAATGGGCCCCGGCCAACGCAGACCTGGGCCCGCTGGCTTCCTTTTCCCTTTATCTCCCTTTCCAGATCTTCTCTTAGGTCCCTGGAGAGGTAGGGGTGATCTGTGGGCAAGTCACAGACCCTCTCTGAGCCTCTGTTTGCTGGTTTGTAAAATGGGGATAGTAATCCCTACATCACCGTTGTCATGGGGCAGGGGTTGTCAGAATTAAAGGAAATAATGTATGTCAAGCCCCTGACACATAAGGGTTCCTGGTCTCCATAGAAAAACACAGCTGTCAGGCCTTCCTCTGGATGACTGTTAAGGGATTAGACATTCATTTATCCCAGAGGCCTTTGCATTTAAAAGGCCTCAAAGCCTCCCACTCAATCCCTGAGCAGGATAAAAGGAGGAGGCCGACTGTGGCCCCGGGCCTCTTCTTCCCGCCAGGAATGCTGCTCACCACGGGCTCAGGTCAGGAGGCTGCCGTCTCTCTGGTGGTGGTGCTGGTTCCCCCGGCAGCCATAGTAATGCTGACAGGGAATTTTAGGAAAACAAAATTATCGTGAATAAGCAACTCTAAAATAGCTGTATCTGCTCCAGGAGGTCTGAGATGTCCCTGTCAGCGCGAAGCTCCATGTTGCCTCTCTCGTAGAGTGTCAGTTAAGACACAGCGGGTCAGCTAAGCGGCTAGAACAATAATACACAGTAGTATTAATGACACCTAATGCTTTTATAGTGATTTTTCCGTGCCAGGCACCATCCTAATCAAGGCATGTACGTACAGGATCTTATTTTAGTCCTCACAACTGCTCCGTGAGGTAGCTACTATTGTTTTCCCTAGATGGGGAAACTGAGGCCCAAGAGGTGAAGGGACGGGCTCAGGTCACACTCCTGCTGAGGTTAGGCTCTCCCTCCTGGCTGAGGCTCTTTCCTGTCCCTTCTACCTGTATGTCCCTCAACGCAGGGCTGGCATAGCCATCAGGCGGAGTAGGCATAGTGTCAAATGCTCACAATGATACTCTTAGAAGCCTCTGAAAATATTTTATTTTAAAATAATAAAAATATGCAATGTTAGGTAGAAGAAAATGTTTTAAGATATATCTTATATAATTATATATTCACCTCATACCAATTAAAAAAAATTTTTTTTAAGATTATTTATTTATTTATTTGACAGAGAGACACACAGCGACAGAGGGAACACAAGCAGGGGGAGGGTCAGAGGGAGAAGCAGGCTGCCCGCCGAGCAGGGAGCCCGATGCGGGGCTCCATCCCAGGACCCTGGGACCATGACCTGAGCCGAAGGCAGACGCTTAACGACTGAGCCACCCAGGCACCCCCCCAGTTTTAAATAAAATATGCTTTTTTTTAACATTTTTTTATGGAGGAAGGATCCCATGAAAGCAAAATTGCCCAGGGCCCTCAAAAGTCATAATGTGGCCCTACCTCAGTGCACACTTTTGTGGGGCACGTGTATGTGTGTACAGGTGTGGGTAATATCCCGAAGAACTTGTAGTAACTTTCCACTGGAGGCTGTTGCTGTTGGCAGGAGCCTGAGCAGCCACCTGGTCAGTACCCTCAGCTTACCTGGGGGAAAGAAGTAGAGCTGGGGGTCTGGGAGCTTAGGAGGTGGCTACAGAACAGCCAGGAGCAGAACTTTGGTTTCATCTGGGATATAAGCTGCAGAACTGAAAGCCTCATAAAAAGGCCCCTCCTCCAGGAGAAAGCCAGGAAACCAGGAGCTAGCTCTCGGGAATAGCAGGTGAAGTGTCGCCATGTTCCCGGAAAACCTGGCTTGGAGCAGAATCATCCAACAGGCTGCAGCCCCAGTCTGGGTGCTCCTTCCTCCAGCCGTATCCCAGTAGCAAATCGGACTTCCTGTGCCCTGATCCCTGCCACCGCTGGGCCCATGAAAGGCGCCCCGCAGAGTGAAGGGTCAGGACAGTCCCCTGCCCCTGCCTGATTAAGCGTAAGCGTCTGAGGCTGGGAAGGCCCTGAGTTTGGGGGAAGCTGCAGGGGAAGGTGGGGTCACCTCTGCCAGGTATGATGAGACCTGAGGCTCCTACACATCAGATCTCAGTTCCCAAAGCCCAGGGTGGGGGCAGTTTCTCCCTCTTTCCATCCCCCTCCCCCAGGGCATTTGGTCCTCTGGTCACCTTTTATCCTATGCAGGGCTTTCCTGGGTGTCCAGACATCACTTGGCTGAAGCGGGGAAAAGGAGCAGATAGCAAGGTGTCGGGCTCCACACTCTCACCCCCCCCATAGATAAGACGGCTTGTGACTACAGGGAGTCCAGGCCGAGCAGGTGGGGTCATCCCAGGAGTGTGGGGTATCTAGAGATGGTTTAGAGCCAAGGAGCCTTCCCCACAGGTGCTCCCGAGGGTCCCATTCCAGGCAGCACCTCATCCTTGGGTGGGGGACACTGCCCAGGTGGCAGGCAGGTCTGTGAGCAAGGAGGCTGGTGGACAGCACCTAGGTGACTCTGGGCAAGTAACAGAAGGCACTCCTTCCTTGTGGACAAGCTGTGCCAGGCCCCTGGGGAGAAGCAGAGCCTGAGCCCCTCCTAATTCCCTCCCCCCCTTCATACCCATGCACACTAAGCAGGTCACTGGAACAAAGATGTCTGTTGCTAGTTAAGGGGGATGTCTTATTCCTGTCTTTTCTATTTTATTTCCTTAAGAGGAGCTTCCTTGTGGATTGATGTTTAAAAGTAGTTGATAGAGAAGAATTTATCTAAGGTTAGATACCCCATGGGTGACCTTTTCAGTCTGGAAAGGGAAAAGATAAAAAAAATCTAGCAGCTTCCTAATAATCCCAGGGATCAGTTGAAACGAAAATACTTTGCCTAAGCTCCCAGCTGCCTGATTCATTGTGTCCTGGTTAGAGGAAGCTCCAGAGACCTGGGGGGTCTCCTCCATGTGTTAGGAGATAGGTTACAATGCTGGTGTGTTTTTTTTTTTTATTTAAATGTACTTTTAAAAAATTATGGGAAAATAAGTTTTTAAAGAACATAGAATTTACCATTTTAACCATTTTTAAGGGTACAGGTCCGTGGCATTCTTCCTCAACCACCACCACCATCTGTCTCCAGAATTTTTTCATCTTCCCAAACTGAAACTCTGTACCCATTAAACACTTAACTCCCATTCTTTCCTCTTTTCCCAGCCCCTGGCAGCCACCATTCTACTTTTTGTCTCTATGAATTTGACTACTCTAGGTACCTCATGTAAGTGGAAGCATCCAATTTTTGACCGATTTTTCTGACTGGCGTATTTCATTTAGCATGATGTCCTCAAGGCTTACCCATGTTGTAGCATGGGTCAGAATGTCCTTTCTTTTTAAAGCCAAATAATATTCCACTGGATGTATAGATCACATTTTGTTTATCCATTCATCCGTTAGCAGACATTGGGTTGTTTCCACCTTTCGGCTATTGTGAATAATGCTGCCATGAACGCAGGTGTGCAGATAGCTGTTTGAGACCCTGCTTTGAATTCTTTGGGGTATATTCTGAAGTGGAATTGCTGGGTCATATGGTAGCTCTGTTTACTTTTTTGAGGATCCTCCCCATTTTCTTCTACAGCAGCTGCGCCTTTTACATTCCCACCTGCACAATGCTGATTTTTAATTCAAATTGTATATAGGGGAGGTCCAGGAGTGATGGAGGGTCATCATGGATTATTTTGAATTATATACCCAAGGAGTTTGTCAGGCTGATCAAGAAGAATGGGGGCAACAAAGTAGGTTAGGTTCTCCAACCAAAATACTTCTGTTCATAAGACAGAGACATACTTGTTGAGCTGTGGGGAGCCTGGCTGGCTCAGTTGGTAGAGCATGCGACTCTTGATCTCAGGGTCATGAGTTCAAGCCTCATGTTGGGTGTGGAGCTTATTTAAAAAAAAAAGCCCCATACTTTTTGAGCTGTTATTATGTGTCAGCAGGGTCTGTGGTATCTGGGGACCCAGTGGTGAGCAAGATAGCCACAGTCTTTGGAGTTTGTACGCTCTAGTGAGGAAGACCAGAGCTAATGAGATCCTCACATCAGGATGTCAGATTGTGCCGGGAAGGAAAGCACGGGTCTAGTCATGGGCACCAGAGAACTGCTGCTCTGAGGAGCCAGGGAGAAAGAACACCAAGGAGCCACCCTTGCCTGGGAAGCAGGTGCTGTTGGAGTCCTTCACATTCAGTGACTTTGCCTGACAAGCTAGATTGTTCTCAAGAAGCTAACAGTCTACTGAGGAAACAGAAATGATGAAGAAATGTAGGACGTTGCTTTTGATGGAGTGGCGGGGACTGAGGGAATGGTCAGTTCTGTTCGGAGAGAGAACCAGAGATGCCTTCACTCAGGAGGTGATGCTTGCCA